TTTGGAAATAATTATGCATACAATGGACTCAGGACAAGGTGCGTTCCTATAAGTCTTCCTACTAATATGATCAAGTTGCTAAAACAAGGTCAAACAACTTTTAAAAAATATTGATTGAAATAAAAAAACATAAGAAATTTTAAAGGACCTACTTAATTTGAGGTAGTTGGCGTCATCAACAGTGCCTAAATGAGTGGTGAAAAAAAACCAGGCAGGTTCAGATATGTTTGTCGCCATGGTAGCAAAGGAACCACTGTGAGTACGTAGATGGACCTGAAAATTAGGGCAAGTCAAGGGAATGAATGATCAGCGAAATAAGAGAGAGATACATAATCATCAGAAAAAAGAAGTTTGACACAATTTTTATGGAAGTAAACTACATATATTTGATTGAGTCGTGCTCTATGTTGACATCTTATCGATTTTAAACTTTTGAAATTAGTTTATTAATGAGAATTATAATAAAAAATTAATAATTAATCCATGTATAATCAAGATCAAATCTTTACCCCAAAAAGTGTTCGATCAATTTAAATTCAAAGAAAAAAAATACTTATTTGAAAAAAAGGTCGAGTGACAAAAATAAACGTACATCGGAGTCATCTACACCCAAGGCCCATGCGGCAACACGGTTCTGTCCACGGTTTACAGTCATTCCAGTCTGTTCACGGTTTCGGGACTCGCCACTTGTTGAAGTTATAATGCTTCGTTGAACAATTGCGACCTGATCCGATGGATTAATATTAGCTGAGATAAGCGGATCTGTAGAACCCACCCCAAGTCGATTGCTTTTGGAGATAGCAACCTCGAAAGGTGCTGCAATATCTGGAAAGTTAGTTGCAGTTGGAGAGGTCACTAGCCCATGTTTGCCAGGTGCTTTGTCTATGGGACGAGTCGCTGAGATAGGCATAGTAAAGAATGAGTACCGCTCCTTGCCACTCAAACCCTGGGCATCCTGGAATGATGACGAGCGGAGCATCAGACGCTCCATCATGAAGAAACGAAGTGTCATCCAAAAAACGAAGAGACATATGGTCTATTTTGAAGAATTGGTTACGAAAATTGAGATTAAAAAATGGGCGGTAATAAAAATGCTAAGTCAAAAATGACAAACTTAAATAATAATAAAGTAAAACAAATGAAATACTATCTCAAAGTAATATTAAGCAAATCATTCTCTGAGAAATTGGGAAAAGGTTTACAATAGAATAAATATAAATAAAGAATTGCAATATATACATTTCAGGGCAGACTGATTCAATCCTTGAAATGTATTTTGTAGTTTCGTGGCCATACTAAAGGCCGCACTATCTTGATCTTCATAGTTTCGATAGTATTCGTAGTCTTCGTTTAACCTCGTTTACGCAACTTAGTCGGAGAGATAAGGAGACCTTGTAAGACATACCTAGTCCTGAGTTATCTGCCATAGTATTCATGATGATTTGCATCATCGAAACGGTGAATTGGCAAAGTCGCAGATGTTTCGCGAGCATAATAATCGGTATTGTCAGTGAGAGGCGCCATTCTTAGCATATATGTCATCCTATGAGGCTTCAATTCCGGTCTCAGTTTACGTCGGATAAATAACCGATGATTCTCCTTTTTAGTCATCTTCTTTCTCCCCGCGTCAAACACACAGATTTCGTCTTTAATGTTGACCGTTCAACCTAATCGTAAGGTTCTAGTCAGTTGTGTATGTTTACGTGAGTTGGTAACCTCCTTAGTCAGGAATGTCACTAGTCCCCCCTCACTGCAAGGACTGACAAGAAATATGCAGACAAGTACACACAAACAGGAGACACAAAGAAACTGTGCTACTTAGCTCAATTTTCACACCTAGGTGAATCTAAAATGAACCAAGATCTTTAGCCTAGCATCTTTATGGTGTACAATTTGGATAGATTTAACATTTAATTTCCCAAACCATGTGGACTCACATCGGTAACTTATCAGTCTAGCAAAAGATTTGACTCCTCTCAGTTCAATCGCCTTTTCTTGACTTCTTTTGTCCCTCGTAATCTTCTTGTTGGCGATATCTCTTCCTGTTATTTAATAGACGTCCTTGGTCCAAGCGTCTTCTTTTAATCGTCCTCGCTGAATCTCCGAATCAACTCGGGCAGTAGGTAAAATTCTCCAAGACTCTAAGGTTTCCCAATCTATTTATTTTCATAATTCTTTAAAAGAGGGTTTCTAAAGCTTCCTGGATCTTTCGTTTTCTACTAGTCTACCCATAACAGACAAGGGTTAGTCTTCAATTAGCTACAGTTTATGGTTATGTTAGTTGAGTGTCCACTTTAGAATTCGCATGCTTATTCTAAAAACGAATTCGTAACCCTATCTCAAACTATATATCAAAAGATAAATTAGAACAAATAAGAGTGTACAAGTATATACCGTGACCCAAAGAGTGGTCACACGACTTTGGTCTCCATACCTTCGATTAAAATAGTATTACAATTAATAGTAAGCAAGTTAAAGATATTGTGTACAAATAACAAAGGAATAAAATTAAATTACCCTCAATAATAAACTGTAATTATAATAAATAAATTATTTTGATAAATTCTTAGATTTGGCCTTATTAAAATAAAAGTAATACTTGGAGAGAAGTGTAGGAATTCTTAGTCGCATGCGATGAAGAACTCTTAGTGGATTGCCCAACAATAGTACAGGTCAGTCGAATGATGCCATTAAATTTTACTCAACCTAGCCCAATGAAAGGTATTCTCATCCAGAATGAAATGTAGCTTAGACCTCGCCCGGGTTTCATCAGCATGTTCAACGGGAACCTAACCCAGATTGTACGATTAAAGCTTGCGAAACGTCACCACTACGCCAGAAAACCACAAGTGCCAGTGAGTCAAAGGGCAGTCTATGCCACCCAGGATTTATAGTGTTGAACGTCATGAGTGCCACGTGGCCTACCATCATCCGTGGCTTTGTAGCGCAGCTGCAAAATTGCGGAAATATATGCTGCACCAATCGAGTAAGATTCCCGTTAGGGACGTAATTGAGACCCAGGCGAAGTCGAAAATGCAACCGAGCCTGGATGAGAATAACATTTTAGAGGTAAAGATATGTGAAATTCAAATGTGAGATATAGATGTATTATTGCGAAAAAATTCAACTATAAGCCCTTCATAAACTTGTAATACCTAGGAATATTACAACATATTCCAACTGATAATAG